ACTTCCCAGCCGGCACGCGTTAACGGCAACCATAGCCGGCGAACACAACCGTCTGTTATACGTCACTGATGTGATTACAAAAGTTGGCTACTTAATCTACACTGGCGCAAAAGTTAGCGTTCTTCCAGTGAATTCTAACGACCGACTGCACGAACCGGTTTTAGACTTACAGGAGGCAGACTGAAAACTGATCGGCACATATGGTAGATAATATGTGTATCTTAACGTGGATTTATGCAAACCCACTCACTGGATCTTTGTTGTTGTAGATGTTTTTATGTCGATCATTGGTGTAGACCTGCCGAAACATCACAATCTACTCATCGACACACTAAAAACGAGGTTAGTATATGGAAATACTGCTTCATCTGTTTCTGTAACTTCTCTGTCCGCCTGTAGATTACCACCCAGTCACAGTAATGCACACTATCAATCCACACTAACAACAAATACTCAATAATTACCCCAAGATATACCACATGAAACCGAATTTACTGTGTATAGCCAACAATGTTGCACACCACGTTACGGCTACAGGACCATCCATATTTACGAAAACACACCGACTAGTCCCGAAAAGCTAAGGTTGTCTAAAGACGAATTCGAACATCTGATAAATTTGGGAATCACTCGACCATCAAGTAATCCATTGGCATCTCCCTTCCACATTAATACTTAGAAGGACAGCAACGATTGGCGTCCAACTAGTGACTATAGACGACTAAATGCGAAAACCATTTCTCATCGTTACCCGCCGCTGCACATTCGCTATTTAACAGCTACCTTGAAAGGTACAACTGTCTTTTTTCAAAAATCGAGTTGGTTAAAGCATACAAATAAATTCTCATGGCTGCGGATGACATTCTTAAAACCGCTATCATCACAACATTTGGTCTCTACGAATTTTAGCACATGTCTTTTTGGTTTAAGAAATGCTGCACAAACACTCCAGGGTTTCGTCGATGACGTTTTTCGAGGTCTCAACTTGATACATGCGTCCAGCATCTAGACCTTATTTTGAAACAACTGCAATAAAACAGCATTACTGAAAGCACTCAGGAATTTCACACTGGAACTGACTCTGTAGTTTTTATCGGATATACCACTGACACTCAAGTCGTCCACCCTCTGAGAAGTAAAGTGGTGGCCATGCTGAATTGTCTAGAACCGTCTACAATCAAGCAACTGCACATGTATAGCGGCCTAGTAAGTTTCTATGAAGGGTTCATATATAATTACGCATCTCTTATGAGGTCTTTAACCTGCCAACTTCGTGGAGATGCGAAACTCATCAATTTGGACGACAATGTGAAGAAAGCATTCTCACACACCAGGGCAACAAAACACCCATTAATATAGCAGTAGATGCACCCGACCCAGCAATCGGAGGAGTCTTAAACAATAAACAAACTGTACTAGCCAACCCTATGTATTCTTTTTATAAGACTGCAAGACACCGGATTAGAGCATACCACTTACAGCAGGGAATTTCTAGCCATGTATTGTGTTGTTCCGTAGAAGGTCGAGAGGTCACCCTGTTTATCGACCACAAACCTCTCACCTTCTCCCTTGTCTTTTTTTCAGACAATTACTCTCCTCGAGAGTCCTGATTAGTGAACTACATTTGTCTTAGATGGTGGTCGGAGGTAGTCGACAGGGTTTCTTATTGACTACCTCCAACCACCATCTAATCTCACAATAGTGCACGCAGTTTCGATTCACCTAGGCTAGTGGCCACACTGCAACATGGTCGATAGCATTCGATCTGTACTAACAATAAGGACTAGACACGCATGAAATTGATCGCCACCCAGTGATCAATCAATTGTGACTACATTTGTCTGTTTACTTCAGGTAGAGAAAAATGTAGTTGTAACGACCGAATTTCCAATATTCGGTTTGAACGCAGAACTAACAAACCCAAATTTATTCGATTAGATCAAGCTACGTTCTTCTGTATAGCGTACAAAGCGCATTTAGTTATACGCACTAAAATATATTGTAGAATCCAAACTACGGTTTGGATGTTGAAGAGTCGCCTACCGGGGATTTTAGACACGCGCCCTTTCCCGTCGAAATCAGAACAAGTAATCGGGTAAATAGCGGTTCTATAATTCATAATAAATTTAATGTAAATCATTACCTAAACAAATATTATCACCCGGCTATTCAACCAATGATTGTTCAATCAATTAAATCTAAATTACAATAAATAAAGAAGTTGATAGAAGATGAGGAAAAATTACCAATCACAACAAATCAACGTTATTCTATCCTGACTGGATAGATCACGTACAGATTCGTTCAAAAGGTAATAATTGGTCGCTCTATAACACAGAGTGTTTTCAGTTCTGGAAGAGTGCTTCAATTCACAACCAAAATGCACAATTCCAGTCAACACATGTCAAGCAATCAAAAGCAGGAACAAACCAAAATGGCTGCCGCCCAGACTTAGTATGAAGTAAAACAACATAAGTGCAGTTCGAGAAGAAACATGGGGAATTGGTGAAGGTGTAGTAAAAACGAAACTATAATAAAATACAAATATTAACAATTCAAATGTAGTCAAAAAGTTAACAATGTACAACTAAAAGAATCAATAGGAACAAAGTGTAAGTATATACATGGAGGGATTTTCACCAACACATAAAACCTTCAAAATGGATCTTACACCGGCCCCCAAAATCCCTCCATACCACACAAGCTACCTTGACGCCTACGGTCATGGTTCATTATATAACACATCACACCATAGGAACGAGTAGGACTTACAACAGTACGCCTACTCGACCTAACTACATTAATAACAACAAGGACTAATCCAAAGCTTCAAGGAGACCTGCTTCACCTGTTCTCTGGTGATCAATAATAACAGTCGTGATATAGACTTAATCACTCTTCCCCAAACTCCACCCATGCTGTTGGATGAGGGCCTCGCTGACAATTCAGTGTTTATCTTCTGATTCGACTGCTGCACAAACTTGTTTAACTCAGAAACTGTCCCCACCTTCAAAATGGATCTTACATATATCAAAAAAATTCTGTGTTCAATCTAAACGGTTCTAATTTAGGAAAGACAACAAATTATTTTAAAAAATACAAAATACCTCAAATGGTATAGCCTGTGCTATTTTGCAGTCAAAGACTTCTCTAACACAAATTAGCGTGGTAAACAGCAAAATAAACAGTTAATGCAAAAGAGATTGTAGTGACTCACATTCATCACGAGAACACGACTGGTTTAATAAAAACAATTATTATTATAACCAACTGTACCAGTGCTTGTTTTAATGTGCTTTTGTTTGACTGTGCTGATGACAGCTATATTTTGCTTCCATTCTTATATTCACACTTTGATTGTGGTGGAGTTTTGTTCTCTGAGCTGGATGGTTTGGTCGTGGAGCTTTCATCGTACTTCTGAACGACATCATCAGCACAAACTTCAGATAGAAGTGAAGTGCACCTCGATGCTGTGAAACACATATGGAGAAATTCGAACACTTCACTTCTATCTGAAGTTTGTGCTGATGATGTCGTTCAGAAGAACGATGAAAGCTCCACGACCAAACCATCCAGCTCAGAGAACAAAACTCCACCAAAATCATCCACCTGAGCTACAAATCTTCTCCAACACTTTGATTGTATTCGGTTACGTTCTGTAACCAAGCTTGTATCCTGGCACGATCTCGGTATCCTTTCGATACCACGAGATCGCCAGCGAATATATCTCGATTCGGTCCATTAACTGTCTTCTGATATTTAGCTTCTCGTAGATTTTATGGGTTTCTTTGGTTACGTTCAACCTACGCCTTCTGATTTATTTGGCACGTGTTTCTTTGTAGCGGTGTTCATAGTTAATCTCAACTCGACCCCACGCTACAAGCTCAATACCTGAGAATCAATAAAAATATTCCCAACAAGATGGGACCAGATACCTATCTTCAGGGATTTCAGCAATCTTTCCAGGCATACAGTCAAAGGCTAACAGACACACACTGAACCACTTGAGCTTTGTCAAACACGACCTCATTGTTAATAGTCCGACAACATGTAGCATAACAATTAGGTAACAAAAGGTAAGTCTTTAGTTAAAGTCACATAATAAAAGGTCGGATGAGGAAGACTGAAGAACACCAAGTGTGGTTAAACGAAGGTTCTAGCATCGATATGCCTAGAGGCTCTGCGTACTGATCATAACGTTTTAAAACCTTTGGCGGTTGTCACACGGCAGTGTGTAATAGATTTCAAGTCAGTGCTAGCAATGACTTCTAAGTCATTAAGCGTCTGGATAGCAAGTAGATTAATGTTATCTTCCGTGTGTGTATCTTTGGTTTGATGACCAATATGCATCGTAATGCACTTGAAAGCATTTATCGGCAATTGTCAAATGTCAAACCAGTCAACCTACCACCTTTACTATTTATCGCTCGTTATATATTGACATCGTCAGAATATCGTGTCTGTAAGTTATGGAATATCCTACCAAAATAAATAGCGATGGGATCTTCTACCGACTGCTCCAACAAAAGGCTTAATGATTACTTTAGCTCTGTGAGTACTAATTGGGATTACTCCAGGTGTTATACTTCCACCACTTTCATTATTATTTACTTCATTTTATTTACAGGAGAATACAACAAGGACTACACCTCTCCATAAATGCAAACTGTCTTCTAGTAACCGGATGCAAATTCCAAGGGATAAACAATGCGCTAGTTCTATCTTGCAAAGTCTGAGGCTTGACATAGCTAGGATGAGCACTGATTTGAAATTGTGCGTTACCGCTCCGTGGTTACCCTAATCTCGAACATTTGTTGCTACAACTTGTTATGAACTGCTTACACTAGTTAATGTAAGTACACTCTGTGCCTACTGAGTCTCCAGTTCAGATTTTCACTTGCTTTCCTTCCAAGCTTTCCTTACACACTTCTACAAACGCTGTCTCAGGACCCAAACTTCCTTCAGATCAGGCAAAAAAAATCTACAGCCTTTCGAAACATATGAGCAGGAATACGTTAGTCATCCCCTTTCTTCATATCTATTATTTAGCAATAGGCTTAGTTGTCTGTCTTGTTATAAACGCCGCCGTAAATGTACAAAAAGTAGTGGCTCAGACTATGCTAACTGTGTAAACAAGCAAACCCTAAACGATACTAGACAGGCTGACCAAGATGGAAGTGCTAAGGAGACTTTATCTCTATCAACTATTAGTCACACTCCGGGTGCTGGGGACGGGGGTTCAGCTAGTTTAGGCGACTGGTCTACGGTTCACCAACTTGATGGAATTGATGCTTCAAAAGTGAATTTATTATGTGAGGGCAGCAGCAACAACACGTCATCCGTATTAGGCGTTCTCAACAGAGTAGAGTTCTGTGATCGTTTAGAAAGCATAGTTCTTCGGCTTGAAAGGATAGCACAAACAATAATACCAGGTAAGTCCTAAGCCGATTTGTTCATTACACAGAAAAAACTCCTGGACTGGTTGCTTTTGAACTGATTATTGCTAATAGCCTTAAAAATTATGTCGCATGTAGTAGAAAGTTGGGAGGAAACATACAATCTCAGGTAACTACAATCCATTGTCTATTTGTAGTCATTATGTGTCCAAAACGCTTTCGGCTTCGTCAGGGATCTCATTGAACTATCCAACATTTATAGCAAACCAACTGAAGTGGATATGGATGTTCACTTAAAGCCTCTTCATTTTAAGATGATTGAAATAGCAGTACGTTAATTCTCCGTAATTTAAATGAAGTCAAGAACTTCAGGGTTGGAGCTATGTCCGTACGGAAGTGTCAGCTATCAACCATTGCAGATTCTGTCCTTATACTGAATTGGGTTGGGTGTGTAAGTCTACAGATTCGTAATGTAACAAATATTAGTCTTCAGCATCGCAGTACGTTAAAGAATTGAAGGACTCAACATGGTTGAACGCTAACAAAGTCTTTCAGTATTGCCGTGAGAGGTAAGTTATCTTCTGGCATAAAAGCGCGAATACTATTATTAACCAGATGCGGCAATGTTCGCTCTGTGGATTCCTTACTGTTTGCTCCTAAATGTCTAAGGATTACTTGATGTAACTAAGTGATTGACTCGAAATGGGTTATTGGGTATCACGCCTGTAAAGCCTTGGTCTAGAGAATACATGCTTACTCTGTTATCGAAGCACACTTTCGCATCTGAGCTTAGTGAGGTAGGTCAAACGTTTGGACTCATTTTGATTTTGTTCGTATCAAGGTTCACATTTACTGTCCTTGTCTTCATAGTAAGTACTTCAATAGTGTGTATGCCTACGTACTTAGAATTCATCAAGTGTGTTAATAGTAAAGACTTCACTAGGGGAAAGTTTGTTTCATGTAGGTTAGCTTTTGAGACCTGTTACAGTCTTATGCATATGTCATTAGTTAGTATTCATATATAGTGGGAATGAATATTTATTTCATGAATTAAAATCGAAAAGCAGTTGTACAATAAATAACGGTCGGTAACTATTCAATTGTCTCTGTAAGTCAATTATTTTGCGTCATTAATTCTCGAAATGAATAAATTCACATCATTTTACTTCGATGATCCTTTTAAAAAAAAAATTATGTATCACAGTATTCATGCATTGACTAATATTTACCGGTTTAGTGGAACTGATGTAAGTTAGTTCACTCAGAGTTGTTGAAATGAAAAGCCACTAACTTATATTTATACCATAGTCTGCCCCCAAATGCCCTGGTATGGCCGAGAGTGGGGTGGGTCCGCCCTTCCTCTCGAAATACTCTCACACGGCCACGCGTATACAGCCTCTGCCAGGGAAGTCCTACTCATTGCCTTCTCGTGGCGGGGGTGTTGTTTACGAAAATGAGAGGACGAAAAGCGAATGTCTGGCGCTTTAACCGGATCCCGAACCAATAGTGCACATGGGCTCCAGTATCCTGCGAGAACAAATGGCGTATGAACCAACTTTCGGTCATCGGCCACCATGGCACTGCATCTACTTACGATGCTCCACCGCCTTGTGGGTTAGACCTTTAGGCCAAAGGCTCGGGGTGTGGCCCCCTAAGATAACCACCTGCTTCGGTCTGGGCACCCGGGCAGTATCACAGCCAACACGCAAATTATGAACTCTCTATATCTATGGAAACTACTTTTCTCGCTCCGAATAACAATCAAATGATTCAAATTATTATCATTACTATTATTGTCATTATTATTATGATTATTACTATTATTATTATTATTATTATTATTATTATTATTATTATTACTATTATTACTATTTACTACGAAATTATTCACCCTCTTTTATTCCTACTCTGTCTAAACTTATCTTTTCGACTTATACAGCAGCTCGTCTTTGGTGGAAATCCGACTCTATCTAAACGTTCTCGAGTCACTGTCCGGTTAGGCTGTCCACTTTCTCCATTTTTGTTTAACTTCATCATAGACATACTGATGGCAATAACATTCTGGTCGACTGAATTCTCGGGTATTGATCTCCTTCCAGGAGGTCCACTTATCATCTTAGAATACGCAGATGACATAGTCCTGTTTGGTGAAGACGCTGATAAAATGCAGATTCTTTTGGTAGCACTAAGCAACAATGCCAGAATGTTTGGAATGCGCTTCTCTCCCTGTAAATGCCAGGTGCTGCTTCAGGACTGGTCTGCGCCATTGACTGAACTAAGGATAGGGAGTAAAGTAGTCGAACGCGTCGACAGCTTCACTCATCTTGGAAGTCTGATCAGCCCTAATGGATTGGTATCGGACGAAATCTCAGCACGGATTCGAAAAGCTCTCTTGGCTTTTGCCAACTTACGTCACCTTTGGCGAAGGCGAGATATCCGTCTATCAATAAAACGACGAGTATACTGCGCGGCAGTCCGTTCTGTTTTACTTTACGGCAACGAAACATGACCATTAAGAGTGGATATTCGTAAGCTACTAGTATTTGAGCACAGATGCCTTAGAAATATTGTTCGCATCTGCTGGGATCACCGGGTAATAATAGTGAGGTTAGACGCAGGGTATTAGGTAATGATGGTAAATCAGTTAATGAGGTTGTTAATCTTCATCGACTGAGATGGTTGGGCTACGTGTTACGTATGCCTAAACACCGGTCACCACGACGTGCAATGCTGACCGGTGTTCGGAATGGTTGGAAGAAAGTTAGGGGCGGCCAAACCAAAACGTGGCATCAGTGCTTGAAGTCACTAACGTCTGTTCTGAGCCATGTTGGTAGATGCAGACTACTTGGTTGGGGTCCGCGTGACTATCGTAAGCAATGATTGGAAACCCTTGGTGACATGGCTCAGAATCGATCACAATGGCGTAGGTGTATACACTCTCTGTCTTCTCTTAAACTAAGAGATTAAAATCGCTTCATATCTTTCTTTCTACGAACCAATTCTTTCTTCCTGTACTATATCTCTATAGGCAATCTTTCATATATTACCACCATTGAATTAACTACTTATATGAATCCGGTGTCCATCTTGTTATGTTAATGAGGTATGGCAACTTGGACCGATGCATATATGTGCCTGGTCCTACGTTGTAGCTGACTGACACTGTCCGGTTGAAAGTTGTATGTTACCACCGAATATGAGTACTGAAGCAGTTTTTCTGAAACCAACATCGGTCAGACTGTCCTGCCCTCCATGGACGGTGACGACTGATCCACCAAATGAGGCGGAAGTCCGCAAGGAACTCCAACTCTTGAAGCGCTACAAATCACCTGGCCCAAATGACTTACCTCCAACTCTTTTTAAAGATGGTGGTGACTTTCTGACTAAGGGATTGACAACGTTGTTTACAAAGGTTTGGGAACTAGAGAGTGTACCAACGTCATGGAATGAGTCGATAGTTGTCCCTATCTTTAAAAAGGGTTCACGTCGTTCCTGTAACAACTATCGGGGGATAAGTCTACCTCCGATTGCGTCCAAGCTATTGGCTTCCGTCATACGTCGTAGGTTGTTAAAAACCCGAGAAAGATTGACTCGCGAGGAGCAGGCTGGGTTTCGTTCTGGTTGAGGATGTATTGATCATATCTTCACCCTCCGCCAAATGTTAGAACACCGCCATACTTATCAAAGACCAACAATCGTAGTGTTTCTTGACATCAGGGTTGCCTTCGATTCGTTGGATAGGACTGTTCTCTGGGATTGTCTATTGAAGAAGGGTGTGCCTGAGAAGTTTATTAACATCCTAAAAGCCCTATATACAAACGCCTCAGGCAGAGTGAGGGCATACAACCACCTTTCTCTATTGTTCTATTCGAGCAGTGGGGTTAGGCAGGGTTGCCCAATCTCACCATTCCTCTTCAACTTTGCCATCGACGACATTCTGGAAACAGCTCTGATGGATGTAAGTAATGGCGGTGTCGGTCTACTGCCTGGAGAAAGACTTCTCGACCTTGAGTATGCGGACGATATTGTCTTACTGTGCGATAATGCCTAAGCCATGCAATCCGCACTTAATCAGTTGGCAATCAGTGTCCGTAGGTATGGTATGTGCTTTGCACCTTCGAAGTGCAAAGTACTTCTACAAGACTGGCAGGATTCTAATCCTGTACTCACTCTGGATGGTGAGCAGATAGAAGTAGTCGAGTTCGTGTATCTGTGTAGCTTCATACGTGCTGGTGATGGCATGAGTGATGAGGTCAATTCAGGTATAATGAAAGCCAGAGCGGCTTATGCCAATCTGGGCCACCTTTGGCGCCTTCGTGATGTCAGACTGGCAGTAAAAGGTCGGATCTACAACGCGTCGGTGTGAGCAGCTCTGCTCTATGCTTGTGAAACCTGGCCTCTCCGAGTTGTGGACGTTAGACGACTCTCTGTGTTCGATCGTCGTTGTCTCCGAAGGATTGCTGACATCCAGTGGCAACACCATGTTAGTAATGCAGAGGTTCGGCATCGTGTGTTCGGGCACAGAGATGATAATGCAATTGGTGTCACCATCTTGAAACACTGACTTCGGTGGCTTGGACATGTTCTACGAACATCGTCCCAGAGAATTCCACGTCGTGCATTATTTGCCGACTCTGGGACTGGTTGGAAGAAGCGGAGAGGTGGTCAGTGTATGATATGGTATTGTAATTTGAAAGAAAGCAGTACAGGACTGGCTTCTGTTGGACCTTCACGACTCCCTAGCTGGGGTCCTAGAGATAGTGCGATACAGTGGCTGGAGACGTCAGATATGGCTCAGAATATAAGTCAGTGGTGATCCTGCTGTAACCTTCTTTTACTTTCTTCATAGAAAGTGGTTGTATCTTCCTTAACTGAAAGATTTCTTCTGGTTGTACCCTTCCGTTCCCTCATTATTATTACACTACCTTACACCAATCTCTTCGTTATTGTTCTCTTTTTTTACGCTCCTTACCTCTTTTTCTCTTCGAATTCTCATTGTTTTGTGTGGCGCATATATATTGGCGCTCTCTTGTACCAATATTTATGTGTTCAAATAAATGCCATAATCTGTTCGGCTTTATTTAGGAATGTTTGTCTACTATTGCTTTTCCTTCCAGTCAGTCAAGTCTATCGGAAAGATGTGTTGTGTACGATACCAAGTCTAGGATATTTTCCTTTTATCACTTTTTGCAAATGAGAAAGTAATTTTTTCTCACTTTACATGTCCTTTTTACTGTGATTTTTGTATATAGCCTTCCTGAACATGTTGAGTGGTTACGCTCATGGCTTTCTTGTCTGGATGAATTGTGCGTAGTTGTTGGAGAGCATTTTCCATACGGTCTAAAATGGAATAAAAATGGTCCCAAACTACCCTTACCAACTGTTGAAATACGCCCAATTCAGTCTTTGCAAGAGGGTCGTACCAATACACATGAAAGAACTTCAAAAAAGGTATTGTTGCACAGACTATCAGTTTTGCTACTTGACATCTCCAATTTTTATTACTGTGTAGATATTTCAACGATCAACTGCGTTATTATCCTGGCATAAAAAATGATAATAAGAATTACAACACTAATCAATCTTACTTGGGGCAAAAATACATACATTGCCGTATAACGTATCTATTTGTTGAACTGTTTAAACTGAAGCCTTTTAGATTTGTTTATTAAATGATAAGATCTGTGTAGTTGATTTAGCTTCATGATTCAGATGAATACTTCAAAAAGTAACTGCCATGAATAGCTTCGTCTAACCTCATAGAAAAAAGTATTGACTAGTAGGCTTGTTTAAGACTAACTAAAAGGAGTAAAACAGCCTATTAAAGCATCAACTCCAGCCGTTTCCTCGAATTTGCATATTTTCTTATCCTTAAATATTAAGGTTAGTTTTCGCTTCAAATTTATATATGATAAGTAGTTTTGTTCAGATTGACATGTTTTAATAATCTGTACTAAATCGGACAGAGTGCTTATGTTCATATGACAATTAGATTTTGCATTTAGGTGCGAAATGAGGTAAAAGACACTTTAGTGATATTTGACAGCACATAAAATGATATCTTTTCATATAAATTCTAATATATTTAGAAATGTATTATTCATTATATAGTGTTTGTAATCTTACGTTCCAGATATTAAAATAGATCTTTGAAAAGGATATAAGTGGTCAATTGTTTTGTGTGACGAAAGGATTAATATTACCGAGATTTCTAGTCTAACAATTTTGTGAGAATTCATTAAGGCCCAGCAAATTTATTATACCTCGAAGTTAGATGTCATGATCTGTTAAAAACATTGGTCGACGAGTTTTCAAAAACGTTTTGCTACCAACATTCTGAGTTAAGTAGTTAAAATGGTATGGACATTTTAATTGTAAGATGCTAACGCATCACAAAGAACTAATTAGAAAGGTAAAACGAAACATTAAAAGAGTGGTTTTTGAATCGTAGGAACTTCATTTCAAACGAAAACTTAATGTGTTTATACCAGTGTAATATATACAAATAAAATGAAATGACAATTACTGAAATTAATATAAATAAATAATATATTTGTAATATCCCAATGAGTAGAAAAATTAGATCTTCTGATGTTTCGTGACTTCGTGTAAGCCACTTCTTCAGAGAACAAATAAATGACCAAATAAAAATTAATTCAAGTTTACATAGTATTAAATAGATATCCCGATATATATACTTTTTGAAGGCTCCTCAACCACGATGTCCTACAAATAGAGGGACAAAGAGATTGTGGATCCGCTCGTAATCGGTAACAAATCAAAATTAATCCAGGTTTAAATAGTACAACGGAACAACAAGAGTATTATTTATTTAAAACAATCTACCCAATGTTCAATTTATTCGAAATTATCAAGTCAAACATTGGTAATAATACCTACAAACTATATCATAGTTTGCTGCAGAAGTGTATGGAGATCAATTTAGTTTATAGATAGCCTTTGTCACAGACTAGTAAACTTCAACCATGCCAGAAATGAGATAGTTGCCTGCCAATGACATGGGACGATTGTCTCATCATATGGTCAATTCATTAAAACCAACGTATTTTGACTCAGTATTGGTCTAATTATAACGTGCTCATCGTGAGGTATGAAGATCTTAGTTTCAAGACTTGACTAGATCATAGATACACAATGTCCCATGATTTTGAGTGGTCATTTAATTGGTGAAAGTTCGTGCTGAAAACCATCTACAATTACCTGGACAACAATTCATCAAGAAATATGAAGTTCAAGTCAATTATATAAAGTAAAGTTGAAGTCAGATGCTGTCAATAGAGATGAAAGTGCAAACACCAAGCAAAATATATGTTCAATCAAAGAGAACAACACACGAATCGATACTCTTCTCGCCATCATTCACACTTTAAGTATGTAAGAAATGTGATTACTATAAAGTATATATATAGGGATATCCACTTAATATTTGATAACTTTCCACCAAATTCTAATCGAAGTTAACATAAACAATCATGTAATTTTTTTACCGAATAAAATTTCCTAAAGATTATATCTTCCCAGTCAGCATTCATTTCGCGAATCGTTTGTAGACCGAAAGTGTTGTCAGTATAGTGTTCTGATCTTGTTCAGTTAAATAACCATGACGGAAGTTTCATGACTCACCAGTCAGTCAACTGTTTATCTTGTCAAATACTTCACTATTCATAATTTTTAGTGAATGGTTACTATTCTCAATCTTTACAAAATTGAGATTAAAGTAAACATGTTACCGATTATGAGCGGATTCACAACCTCTTTGGCCCTCTATTTGTAGGACGTATTGTGGTTGAGGAGCCTTCAAAAAGTATATATATCGGGATATCTATTTAATACTATTTAAACTTGAATTAATTTTTATTTGGTCATTTATTTGTTCTCTGAAGAAGTGGCTTACACGAAGTCACGAAACGTCAGAAGATCTAATTTTTCTATTCATCGGGATATTTCAAATATATTATTTATAACAATCTACCCAATGCTCAATTGATTCGAAATTATCAAATCAGACTTTGGTAATGATGCCTACAAACTGAAATTACTGTTCTTGCTCCAAATAGAATTCAAACAACTCATTTCCATTTGATAAAATTCATCTTGATTTTTATTTTTTTCGTATGTTACGTCATTTCACTCTCCTTTACTCCCACTTTATGTATCCTTATTTTCCGACTAACGCAGCAGTTCGCCTATAGCGGAAACCCTGTTCTCTCTATACGATCTCGAGTCACTAACTGGTCAAAAGTTTGACGCTACCACCGAATACGAATACTGAAACAGCCTTTCTGAAGCCACGTATACCATTCAAAATGACTTCCTTTCACGTTCGAACACTAATGCAGATCGGACAATAGATAGGGTTGGCTGTGTGTTTAGAAAGTCTTAATATCAATGTCTGTTGTCTATCCAAGACCTGTATTCAAGACCAGTGATGTACTACAAATTTGCTTTCCATCTGTCGCTTCGTAAAGCTTGTTTTAAGTGAGTTTATCCGGGGCCCCTGTGGCATCTTCGTCTGGTTTTTCTGACATTATCGCGCAAAGCGCTAGAGCTGAGGCAGTACTGATCAACTGCGTCACCATTAACAGTCGGTTATACGCTGTTAGATTAGAAAGTCCCATTCAAGTGAGAGGAAATCGGTGTGAGAAGCGATGTCTTTTCGTTCTCTCCGCATATGCTCCGACAGATTTTTTGCTCGGATTCGATTAAGGATAAATTTTACCACCATTTAACTATTCTACAGAAAATGCATTCGGCAGGCATTGTAGTTCTAGCTGGAGAGTTGAATGCTCAGGTCGGACGTCTAGGCACAGACGAGAGTCATTTAGGTAGCCGATAGGAACTTGGTCGCAGGTCAGATAACGGGGACCGTCTACTGCAGCTGTGCGCAGACCACAATCTGTTTCTCGCTAGTACTAACCACCGGTAAAATCATCGCCAATGTGCAACCTGACGCCCTCCCTCTGCATCCCAAGCCTGGACTCAGAATACTTACATCACGATCAGCTACCACTGGCGTGGTTGTGTATAAGACTGCCACTCCTTTTGGAGTACCTATCTAGACTCTGATCATGCTCTTGTTTGCTCTAATATTACCTTACTTTTCGATGGCCAACAGATTCATCGACCTAAACGGATCGATGTCAGTAACTTGATTGCAGCTTCTGTTGCAACTAAATACCAAATCGACCTAGGTTCAAGGCTAGCTAACATCCTATCGAAAAGTATAGATGAGCATTGATTGCAATTGCATGACTCCATCAAAATGGCGAGTAAAGTCGCTTACGGCTTCGCGGAACGTCCCGCTTATGAGCACCAGGTTTCTTCAACAACTCATTGAAGCCCGTCGGTGTACTCCGGGTGACCGTGAGTTTGACCACAAACGAAAAGTGTTACGTAATGGAATCGGGCAAAGCTTGTATAAGGACCAAGAAGCCTGGTGGTCGGAGCGTGCCAATGAGTTTGAAGCAGCAGTTGCATCTGGTAACTGCCAGAAGCTCTTTCAACTCATCCGATCCATTGGCAGCAAAACGTCTGGTGTGGGCGAGACAATATGTGAAGCTGACGGGATCTTAATCACTAACATCTATCGGCGTCTTGGACAATGGGCAGAGTTTTTCCAGGGGAAGTTCGACTGGTCTGCTGCCTCGGCAATGTCGATCGGGCTGTCCTGCCCTCCATGGCTTGTGACGACTGATCCACTGGATGAGACGGAGGTCCGCGAGCAACTCCAAATCTTGAAGCGATACAAATTACCGGGTCCAGATGACTTACCTCTGACCCTTTTTAAAGATGGTGGCGGCCTTCTGGTTCAGGAAATGACTGCGTTGTTTACAAAGGTTTGGGAGTTAGACAGTATTCGAACATCATGGAACGAATCGATAATTGTCCCTATCTTTAGAAAAGGTTCACGTAGTTTCTGTAACAACTATTGGGGGATAAGTCTACTTCCGATCGCGTCCAAACTGTTTGCTTCCGTAATACTTCGTTGATTGTTCCGAGATCCGAGAGCTTGACTCGCGAGGAGCAGACTGGTTTTCGTTCTGGTCGACGATGTATTGATCATATCTTCACCCTCCGCCAAATGTTAGAACACCGCCATACTTATCAAAGACCAACAATCGTAGTGTTTCTTGACATCAGGGCTGCCTTCGATTCGTTGGATAGGACTGTTCTCTGGGATTGTCTATTGAAGAAGGGTGTGCCTGAGAAGTTTATTAACATCCTAAAAGCCCTATATACAAACGCCTCAGGCAGAGTGAGGGCATACAACCACCTTTCTCTATTGTTCTATTCGAGCAGTGGGGTTAGGCAGGGTTGCCCAATCTCACCATTCCTCTTCAACTTTGCCATCGACGACATTCTGGAAACAGCTCTGATGGATGTAAGTAATGGCGGTGTCGGTCTACTGCCTGAAGAAAAACTTTTGGACCTTGAGTATACGAATGATATTGTGTTACTGTGCGATGATACCCAAACCATGCAATCCGCACTTAATCAGTTGGCAATCAGTGTCCGTAGGTATGGTATGTGCTTTGCACCTTCGAAGTGCAAAGTACTTCTACAAGACTGGCAGGATTCTAATCCTGTACTCACTCTGGATGGTGAGCAGATAGAAGTAGTCGAGTTCGTGTATCTGTGTAGCTTCATACGTGCTGGTGATGGCATGAGTGATGAGGTCAATTCAGGTATAATGAAAGCCAGAGCGGCTTATGCTAATCTGGGCCACCTTTGGCGCCTTCGTGATGTCAGACTGGCAGTAAAAGGTCGGATCTACAACGCGTCGGTGTGAGCAGCTCTGCTCTATGCTTGTGAAACCTGGCCTCTCCGAGTTGTGGACGTTAGACGACTCTCTGTGTTCGATCGTTGTTGTCTCCGAAGGATTGCTGACATCCAGTGGCAACACCATGTTAGTAATGCAGAGGTTCGGCATCGTGTGTTCGGGCACAGAGATGATAATGCAATTGGTGTCACCATCTTGAAACACTGACTTCGGTGGCTTGGACATGTTCTACGAACATCGTCCCAGAGAATTCCACGTCGTGCATTATTTGCCGACTCTGGGACTGGTTGGAAGAAGCGGAGAGGTGGTCAGTGTATGATATGGTATTGTGATTTGAAAGAAAGCAGTACAGGACTGGCTTCTGTTGGTCCTTCACGACTCCCTAGCTGGGGTCCTAGAGATAGTGCGATACAGTGGCTGGAGACGTCAGATATGGCTCAGAATAGATGTCAGTGCCGATCCTGCTGTAACCTTCTTTTACTTTCTTTATAAAAAGTGTTTGTATCTTCCTTAACTGAAAGATTTCTTCTGGTTGTACCTTTCCGTTCCCTCATTATTACTACACTACCGTACACCAATCTCTTCGTTATTCTCTTTTTTTACGCTCCTTACCTTTTTTTTCTCTTCGAATTCTCATTGTTTTGTGTGGCGCATTTAAATTGGCGCTCTCTTGTACCAATATTTATGTGTTCAAATAAATACCATAATCTGTTCGGCTTTATTTAGGAATGTTTGTCTACTATTGCTTTTCCTTCCAGTCAGTCAAGTCTATCGGAAAGATGTGTTGTGTACGATACCAAGTCTAGGATATTTCCCTTTTATCACTTTTTGCAAATGAGAAAGTAATTTTTTTCTCACTTTACATGTCCTTTTTACTGTGATTTTTGTATATAGCCTTCCTGAACATGTTGAGTGGTTACGCTCATGGCTTTCTTGTCTGGATGAATTGTGCGTAGTTGTTGGAGAGCATTTTCCATACGGTCTAAAATGGAATAAAAATGGTCCCAAACTACCCTTACCAACTGTTGAAATACGCCCAATTCAGTCTTTGCAAGAGGGTCGTACCAATACACATGAAAGAACTTCAAAAAAGGTAACAAAGTGTTTTTATGTTGCACAGACTATCAGTTTTGCTACTTGACATCTCCAATTTTTATTACTGTGTAGATATTTCAACGATCAACTGCGTTATTATCCTGGCATAAAAAATGATAATAAGAATTACAACACTAATCAATCTTACTTGGGGCAAAAATACATACATTGCCGTATAACGTATCTATTTGTTGAACTGTTTAAACTGAAGCCTTTTAGATTTGTTTATTAAATGATAAGATCTGTGTAGTTGATTTAGCTTCATGATTCAGATGAATACTTCAAAAAGTAACTGCCATGAATAGCTTCGTCTAACCTCATAGAAAAAAGTATTGACTAGTAGGCTTGTTTAAGACTAACTAAAAGGAGTAAAACAGCCTATTAAAGCATCAACTCCAGCCGTTTCCTCGAATTTGCATATTTTCTTATCCTTAAATATTAAGGTTAGTTTTCGCTTCAAATTTATATATGATAAGTAGTTTTGTTCAGATTGACATGTTTTAATAATCTGTACTAAATCGGACAGAGTGCTTATGTTCATATGACAATTAGATTTTGCATTTAGGTGCGAAATGAGGTAAAAGACACTTTAGTGATATTTGACAGCACATAAAATGATATCTTTTCATATAAATTCTAATATATTTAGAAATGTATTATTCATTATATAGTGTTTGTAATCTTACGTTCCAGATATTAAAATAGATCTTTGAAAAGGATATAAGTGGTCAATTGTTTTGTGTGACGAAAGGATTAATATTACCGAGATTTCTAGTCTAACAATTTTGTGAGAATTCATTAAGGCCCAGCAAATTTATTATACCTCGAAGTTAGATGTCATGATCTGTTAAAAACATTGGTCGACGAGTTTTCAAAAACGTTTTGCTACCAACATTCTGAGTTAAGTAGTTAAAATGGTATGGACATTTTAATTGTAAGATGCTAACGCATCACAAAGAACTAATTAGAAAGGTAAAACGAAACATTAAAAGGTGGTTTTTGAATCGTAGGAACTTCATTTCAAACGAAAACTTAATGTGTTTATACCAGTGTAATATATACAAATAAAATGAAATGACAATTACTGAAATTACTATAAATAAATAGTATATTTGTAATATCCCAATGAGTAGAAAAATTAGATCTTCTGACGTTTCGTGACTTCGTGTAAGCCACTTCTTCAGAGAACAAATAAATGACCAAATAAAAATTAATTCAGGTTTAAATAGTATTAAATAGATATCCCGATATATATACTTTTTGAAGGCTCCTCAACCACAATAAGTCCTACAAATAGGGGGCCAAAGAGATCGTGAATCCGCTCGTAATCGGTAACAAATCAAAATTAATCCAGGTTTAAATAGTACAACGGAACAACAAGAATATTATTTATTTAAAACAATCTACCCAATGTTCAATTTATTCGAAATTATCAAGTCAAATAATAATACCTACAAACTATATCATAGCTTGCTGCAGAAGTGTATGGAGATCAATTTAGTTTATAGATAGCCTTTGTCACAGACTAGTAAACTTCAACCATGCCAGAAATGAGATAGTTGCCTGCCAATGACATGGGACGATTGTCTCATCATATGGCCAATTCATTAAAACCAACGTATTTTGACTCAGTATTGGTCTAATTATAACGTGCTCATCGTGAGGTATGAAGATCTTAGTTTCAAGACTTGACTAGATCATAGATACACAATGTCCCATGATTTTGAGTGGTCATTTAATTGGTGAAAGTTCGTGCTGAAAACCATCTACAATTACCTGGACAACAATTCATCAAGAAATATGAAGCTCAAGTCAATTATATAAAGTAAAGTTGAAGTCAGATGCTGTCAATAGAGATGAAAGTGCAAACACCAAGCAAAATATATGTTCAATCAAAGAGAACAACACACGAATCGATACTCTTCTCGCCATCATTCACACTTTAAGTATGTAAGAAATGTGATTACTATAAAGTATATATATAGGGATATCCACTTAATATTTGATAACTTTCCACCAAATTCTAATCGAAGTTAACATAAACAATCATGTAATTTTTTTACCGAATAAAATTTCCTAAAGATTATATCTTCCCAGTCAGCATTCATTTCGCGAATCGTTTGTAGACCGAAAGTGTTGTCAGTATAGTGTTCTGATCTTGTTCAGTTAAATAACCATGACGGAAGTTTCATGACTCACCAGTCAGTCAACTGTTTATCTTGTCAAATACTTCACTATTCATAATTTTTAGTGAATGGTTACTATTCTCAATCTTTACAAAATTGAGATTAAAGTAAACATGTTACCGATTACGAGCGGATTCAAAATCTTTTTGGCTCCTTATTTGTAGGACTTATTGCGGTTGAGGAGCCTTCAAAAAGTATATATATCGGGATATCTATTTAATACTATTTAAACTTGAATTAATTTTTATTTGGTCATTTATTTGTTCTCTGAAGAAGTGGCTTACACGAAGTCACGAAACGTCAGAAGATCTAATTTTTCTATTCATCGGGATATTTCAAATATATTATTTATAACAATCTACCCAATGCTCAATTGATTCGAAATTATCAAATCAGACTTTGGTAATGATGCCTACAAACTGAAATTACTGTTCTTGCTCCAAATAGAATTCAAACAACTCATTTCCATTTGATAAAATTCATCTTGATTTTTATTTTTTTCGTATGTTACGTCATTTCACTCTCCTTTACTCCCACTTTATGTATCCTTATTTTCCGACTAACGCAGCAGTTCGCCTATAGCGGAAACCCTGTTCTCTCTATACGATCTCGAGTCACTAACTGGTCAAAAGTTTGACGCTACCACCGAATACGAATACTGAAACAGCCTTTCTGAAGCCACGTATACCATTCAAAATGACTTCCTTTCACGTTCGAACACTAATGCAGATCGGACAATAGATAGGGTTGGCTGTGTGTTTAGAAAGTCTTAATATCAATGTCTGTTGTCTATCCAAGACCTGTATTCAAGACCAGTGATGTACTACAAATTTGCTTTCCATCTGTCGCTTCGTAAAGCTTGTTTTAAGTGAGTTTATCCGGGGCCCCTGTGGCATCTTCGTCTGGTTTTTCTGACATTATCGCGCAAAGCGCTAGAGCTGAGGCAGTACTGATCAACTGCGTCACCATTAACAGTCGGTTATACGCTGTTAGATTAGAAAGTCCCATTCAAGTGAGAGGAAATCGGTGTGAGAAGCGATGTCTTTTCGTTCTCTCCGCATATGCTCCGACAGATTTTTTGCTCGGATTCGATTAAGGATAAATTTTACCACCATTTAACTATTCTACAGAAAATGCATTCGGCAGGCATTGTAGTTCTAGCTGGAGAGTTGAATGCTCAGGTCGGACGTCTAGGCACAGACGAGAGTCATTTAGGTAGCCGATAGGAACTTGGTCGCAGGTCAGATAACGGGGACCGTCTACTGCAGCTGTGCGCAGACCACAATCTGTTTCTCGCTAGTACTAACCACCGGTAAAATCATCGCCAATGTGCAACCTGACGCCCTCCCTCTGCATCCCAAGCCTGGACTCAGAATACTTACATCACGATCAGCTACCACTGGCGTGGTTGTGTATAAGACTGCCACTCCTTTTGGAGTACCTATCTAGACTCTGATCATGCTCTTGTTTGCTCTAATATTACCTTACTTTTCGATGGCCAACAGATTCATCGACCTAAACGGATCGATGTCAGTAACTTGATTGCAGCTTCTGTTGCAACTAAATACCAAATCGACCTAGGTTCAAGGCTAGCTAACATCCTATCGAAAAGTATAGATGAGCATTGATTGCAATTGCATGACTCCATCAAAATGGCGAGTAAAGTCGCTTACGGCTTCGCGGAACGTCCCGCTTATGAGCACCAGGTTTCTTCAACTCATTGAAGCCCGTCGGTGTACTCCGGGTGACCGTGAGTTTGACCACAAACGAAAAGTGTTACGTAATGGAATCGGGCAAAGCTTGTATAAGGACCAAGAAGCCTGGTGGTCGGAGCGTGCCAATGAGTTTGAAGCAGCAGTTGCATCTGGTAACTGCCAGAAGCTCTTTCAACTCATCCGATCCATTGGCAGCAAAACGTCTGGTGTGGGCGAGACAATATGTGAAGCTGACGGGATCTTAATCACTAACATCTATCGGCGTCTTGGACAATGGGCAGAGTTTTTCCAGGGGAAGTTCGACTGGTCTGCTGCCTCGGCAATGTCGATCGGGCTGTCCTGCCCTCCATGGCTTGTGACGACTGATCCACTGGATGAGACGGAGGTCCGCGAGCAACTCCAAATCTTGAAGCGATACAAATTACCGGGTCCAGATGACTTACCTCTGACCCTTTTTAAAGATGGTGGCGGCCTTCTGGTTCAGGAAATGACTGCGTTGTTTACAAAGGTTTGGGAGTTAGACAGTATTCGAACATCATGGAACGAATCGATAATTGTCCCTATCTTTAGAAAAGGTTCACGTAGTTTCTGTAACAACTATTGGGGGATAAGTCTACTTCCGATCGCGTCCAAACTGTTTGCTTCCGTAATACTTCGTTGATTGTTCCGAGATCCGAGAGCTTGACTCGCGAGGAGCAGACTGGTTTTCGTTCTGGTCGACGATGTATTGATCATATCTTCACCCTCCGCCAAATGTTAGAACACCGCCATACTTATCAAAGACCAACAATCGTAGTGTTTCTTGACATCAGGGTTGCCTTCGATTCGTTGGATAGGACTGTTCTCTGGGATTGTCTATTGAGGAAGGGTGTGCTTGAGAAGTTTATTAACATCCTAAAAGCCCTATATACAAACGCCTCAGGCAGAGTGAGGGCATACAACCACCTTTCTCTATTGTTCTATTCGAGCAGTGGGGTTAGGCAGGGTTGCCCAATCTCGCCATTCCTCTTCAACTTTGCCATCGACGACATTCTGGAAACAGCTCTGATGGATGTAAGTAATGGCGGTGTCGGTCTACTGCCTGGAGAAAGACTTCTAGACCTTGAGTATGCGGACGATATTGTCTTACTGTGCGATAATGCCCAAGCCATGCAATCCGCACTTAATCAGTTGGCAATCAGTGTCCGTAGGTATGGTATGTGCTTTGCACCTTCGAAGTGCAAAGTACTTCTACAAGACTGGCAGGATTCTAATCCTGTACTCACTCTGGATGGTGAGCAGATAGAAGTAGTCGAGTTCGTGTATCTGTGTAGCTTCATACGTGCTGGTGATGGCATGAGTGATGAGGTCAATTCAGGTATAATGAAAGCCAGAGCGGCTTATGCTAATCTGGGCCATCTTTGGCGCCTTCGTGATGTCAGACTGGCAGTAAAAGGTCGGATCTACAACGCGTCGGTGTGAGCAGCTCTGCTCTATGCTTGTGAAACCTGGCCTCTCCGAGTTGTGGACGTTAGACGACTCTCTGTGTTCGATCGTTGTTGTCTCCGAAGGATTGCTGACATCCAGTGGCAACACCATGTTAGTAATGCAGAGGTTCGGCATCGTGTGTTCGGGCACAGAGATGATAATGCAATTGGTGTCACCATCTTGAAACACTGACTTCGGTGGCTTGGACATGTTCTACGAACATCGTCCCAGAGAATTCCACGTCGTGCATTATTTGCCGACTCTGGGACTGGTTGGAAGAAGCGGAGAGGTGGTCAGTGTATGATATGGTATTGTGATTTGAAAGAAAGCAGTACAGGACTGGCTTCTGTTGGTCCTTCACGACTCCCTAGCTGGGGTCCTAGAGATAGTGCGATACAGTGGCTGGAGACGTCAGATATGGCTCAGAATAGATGTCAGTGCCGATTCTGCTATAACTTTCTTTTACCTTCCTTATAAAAAATGGACGTAACTTTAACTGGAAGAATTTCTGGTTGTACCTTTGCTTCCTGGACTTCTTCTCCTATTATTATTATTATTATTATTATTATTTCAATACCGCACACCAATTTCTGTCCATTGTTGTTCCCCTTCTCATACGCATCTTACTTTATTTATCTCTTCACATTCTCGTTGTTACTGTGAAGTGCATATGTATCTGGTGCCACTTTGTACCAATATTTGTGTTCATACAAGTAAATAAGTGCATTGTTTCATGCTATGCAAATTTTCAAACCAATTTATTGTTTCCACTGAACACTAGCCAGAGACTTAACAATTCGTAATATCTTACATTATTAGTTGTTACTTTTGTGACCCATGAGGTCTAGTTTAAGAGGACTACAAGTAGTTAGCCATTGAATGTTCTGGAGTGTTTTTCATCTGCGGACTGATACTCTTATACTATTTTAGTAACAAATATATATATATATATATATATATATATATATATATATATATATATATATATATATATATATATATATATATATATATATATATATATATATATATATATATATATATACGGTTATTTTTGTGTATGCGATTATTCGCACTTGTAATTCGTTATTGTAATCAAGCTTGAACATATTTGTTTTGTTATAATCTGGATAACCGATTCATTGATGTTGATAACGAAACTCCGTGGTTGAATGATCGATCACAAATGAGTTATGCCTAGTTATTTTATTTCAGTTTCAATTTTTGTATTTTATTACTTCAGCCTTTTCATCCCAAATTATCAGTACAATCACAACCGGATCCAGTTGATGTCACTAAGTTGTTTGCTGAATTAGCAAGTGCTCATAAAAATTTACGCCATATCAGTGTATCTGATATACTCTGATAATGAGGATTCTAGTGAATATACCTTAAAAATGTATAAAAGTCAGTTGGTCCAAGTGTGATAGTTACAGTAAGTAGTGTTAGTTGTTAATATTAAACGATATTGTTTTACTGATTTCATGCTATCTTAATTCTTATGGCTTTTATATTTAAAGACATCGGAAAACTTTTTACGTATCGAAATTTTAGGAAGACTAGTAGAGGCTTGTAGCTCATTATTTTGATTATCAAGAGAAATACACAGACAAAGACAAAAGTTAGCAACAACCACTCAGAACCAACGTAAACATATTAAGCTGTTAATCATATGAGGAAAAATTCAAATCGCTGACCTCAGTCTGAAGTTTGTGCTGAAAAGAAAGTGAAAGCTTCACTACTAAACCACTCAACTTCGATAACTCAGTAGTAGAAAAGTCATCTCGAGTCCTTAGCTCTTTGTTCTGCTAATTTCCTCTCACTATAATGTTATGATTTGTGGCAAAAATGAGCTGATGTACTTTTATCCAGCGTCCTACATTATAAATGAATGACTTGCTACGGATGTAATGCGTGGAACCGTATATTCTTTAGCATGGTGCTTTGTGGTAATGTACGTACAGTAGCAGTAAGTTCTTACATGTGTTAGTAAACTTACATAGCATTTAATCACTTATATATCTCACCACTTGCTGTGGTTATATTCATGTATATTTGACGTTATTTTCACAGGTCACACATCATTTGACTTCGCAACCTACAAACTGTGCCTTATTTCAGGGGGAAAAAGTTTCGTCTTATGACTGATCTTCTGTCGTGTTTTCATATTTACTCGAAAATAACCATACATTTCACTTCATTATATCATGCATTTACACTATTGCTTGTTTATCCTTTTAATTATATACAGATATTTCTTGTTCTGCTTTTTTTGCTTTCTTTCAATTTATCATTAAAATAGAAGAGAAAGGAAAGCAAGAGTTTTAAATTATTCCACTTTTATTGATTTCAAGTAATGTATAATTAGTTTGTTTTTGTGTTTCGAAAACATTCACAAAATTATTAACAACTAATATATATCTTGTGTGGTGGATGTGCATACATTCTCCATGTTTTCTCATTTCGTCTTACAGATGAATTTCTAAATGCCTGTCTACGCATCATTCTTTGTGCTAGTAGATATAGATAGACACACAAAAATGGGTTGTACACGTCAGTATGTCAAGAAAAATAGGAATGGTTAAATACAACAATGTGGTTTTCTATGCGATGTTTCACGTAATTTAATGAATGATTCTTCATCACGAATTGATTTTATTTGTTGAGAGTAACTGAAAATCAAGGAACATCAGAAAACTGTTCTGTCATAGCTTGGAACTTCTAACCAGTGAACATTCATGATTATTCGCATATGTTTCGATTCGACACCGTATTTGTTAGCGAGAACAATACGCTACCGAATTCGAAAGTCAATAAATAAATAAATCATAAGAAAACAAATTATTCAATTTAATTCAACTTGATGATTGTTCTTTATGTGTATAACTTTTAGCATAGGTTCGAAATGCTCGTTTAGCTTTTGCCAACTTAAGCGACCTATGACGAAGGTGAAATATCCGTCTATCAATTAGGGGACTAGTATACTGCGCATCAGTTCGTTCTATTTTGCTTTACGGCTGTGAAACATGACCATTAAGAGTACGTATTCGTAAGCTACTAGAATTTGACCACGGATGCCTTAGATCACCGGGTAAGTAATAGTGAGGTTAGACGCAGGGTATTAGGGAATGATGGTAAATCAGTTGATGATGTTGTGAATCTTCGTCGACTGAGATGGTTGGGCCACGTGCTACGTATGCCTGAACACCGTTTATCACGAAACGCAGTGCTGAATAGTGTTGAGTATGGTTGGAAGAAAGATTAAAATCGCTTTATATCGTTCTTTCTTCCTGTACTATATCCTTATATGCAATCTTTCTTTTATACATTATTACCAGCGAAGTAACTACCGCTATGAATCCAGTGTTCATCTTGTTGTGCTAATGAGGTATGGCAACTTGGACCGATGGATATATGTGCCTAATCGTACGTTGTAGCTGACTGACTGAGGACTTTTAACATAGTATAGAAATGAGTGGCTACAGTCATCAAGTTGTTATATGTATGTTTAAACGTTTGCTACGCTAACAACAACATGTTCACTTTTAATTACTGATTGTTTTAAGTTTGATATCCTACATTATTTTGTTATTATTTAATAAATACTATTTTCATATCAGAGTGGTTTTGTGGATATTATAGTAATTTCAATGGTTGAGATCATGAGTCAATTGAAGCTAGAACTCCACCCCACGACCATCCAGCGCTTCCAGTTTTTCCATGGTGGTCAATTGACTCGTGATCTCAACCATTGAAAATACTATTTTGTTTAATATTAATAATTTTTGAAGATTTTCTTATCGTTAAATTTTCAAGATTCCAAGTGAATCTTGTAAGTTTATAGACTATTATTGAATTAAAAGTATCATCTAAATGAAAGATTTTTAGATAATAAACCAATTTATATACGTTAGATAATTTTATTTATTTGAACACTCAACTTTTCTGAAAAGTAACTAACTATAAAAAATAATCTCATTTTAATTGAAATCATGAACTGATCAATGTTAAAAAATTTGGAAGCATTGGACGGTAGTCTGACATTGATCAATTCATTATTTCAATCAAACTCAACAATCTTCACAACCCTATACTGATGAGCTGATTTTATTTAGAGCGTGTTTTCAGTATTACTAAATGGTTAAAAGAAATTTTGTTTTAAATCAACCAGTATTATTTCAAAATGCTCAATAGTTCTATAGTTATTTAACGGCTATTATCCACAAATTATCACAGTATATACAAGACATTCGTTTTAAACTTCATTTATATTAGATATAACCGTAGTGTTTTTTTTTAAGTTCCAAAATTAAGCATTATAATAAGCAGATTACCTGAAAAGAAATATTTCTTCACCTTCTCAATAATAATTGTCTGAATGGGTATTTTTATTCTCTTAATGTTGCCTAAACGACAAAGTTATATTTCTGATTTCATGATCGAGAAATCTATTAGTATTCGCCAACACTATATAATACTACTTAAAAGATAAATTTAAAGTGAATTCTTCCTCTCAATCATTCGTATTCTGTTAATCAGAATATTGACAATAATAGTATTAATAATGACAATAATTGTAATGATAATAATTTGAATCACTTGATGTTTTTCGAAGCGAGAAAAATAATTTCCATAGACATAAAGAGTTCATCCTTTGTGTGTGGGCTGTGATACTGCCGGGTGCCCAAACCGAAGCAGGTGGTTATCTTAGGGAGCCACACCTCGAGCCTTTGACCTAAAGGTCTAAACCACAAGGCAATGGAGCATCGTAAGGAGATGCAATCCCATGGTAGCCGGTGATCAACGATTGGTTCATACGCCATTTGTTCTCGCAGGATACTGGAGCCCATGTGCACTATTGGTTTGGAATCCGATTAAAGCGCCGGACATTCGCTTTTCGTCCTCTCATTTTCGTAAACAACGCCCCCGCCACGAGAAGGCAATGAGTAGGACTTCTCTGTCAGAGGCTGTATACGCGTGGCCGTGTGTGAGTATTTCTCGAGGGAGAGCGGACTCTCCCCACTCTCGGCCGTACCAGGGCATTCAGGGGGCAAATTGTGTGTAACTGTGATGCACTATCTAGATGGGCTGCCGGTAGATCCAGATGGCTCACATTATCAATGTAGGATGAGATTCTGGAGATTACGCCACTGCGTAACCCACATGGCCACATCCACACATTGTGTTCGATCATCGCTGTCTCCGAAGGATTGCTGACATTCAGTGGCAACACCATGTCAGTAATGCAGAGGTTCGGCATCGTGTGTTCGGGCACAGAGATGATAATGCAATTGGTGTCACCATCTTGAAACACTGACTTCGGTGGCTTGGACATGTTCTACGAACATCGTCCCAGAGAATTCCACGTCGTGCATTATTTGCCGACTCTGGGACTGGTTGGAAGAAGCGGAGAGGTGGTCAATGCATGACATGGTATTGTGATTTGAAAGAAAGCAGTACAGGACTGGCTTCTGTTGGACCTTCACGACTCCCTGGTTGGGGTCCGAGAGATGGTGCTACACAGTGGCTAGAGACGTTATCACATATGTCTCAGAATGGAAACCAATGGCGATCCTGCTGTAACCTTCTTTTACTTTCTTCATAAAAAGTGGTTGTGTCTCCCTTAACTGAAAGATTTCTTCTGATCGTACCTTTTCGTTCCCTCGTTACTACCACACTACCTTACACCAATCTCTTCGTTATTGTTCTCTTTTTCTTTCGCGCTCCTTAGTTTTTTTTTTCTACTTCTCTTCGAATTTCATTGTTTTGTGTGGCGCATATATATTGGCGCTCTCTTGTACCAATATTCATGTGTTCAAATAAATTAATCAGAATATTGAACTAGAACCTACACTCTATATTTAATAAATAAAACTTCCAGTTTTCGTTTAATTCTATAATTTCAAGGCGATTTTCATCTTTGTACAATGTTTGAAGTATCAACAACTTCTACTATAGAGAGCGATTGCATCAGAGATGCATTTCGTCTCTCTCTCTCTCTTGCTTTAGATCATGAGTGTTGAAATCACCTTGTACTTTCTATCCTGCTAATCTGTTATTTTTGGGTCATAGTCTTTTTTGTTCTGGCATTTATCTTGATAATTTCATCTCACTGTACTAATGTGGTGTGACGAATTGAACCAATCCATGTTTTGATAATTTCGAATAAATTGAGCATTGGGTTGATTGTTATAAATAAAAATAATATATTTGTAATATCCCAATGAGTACTCTTTGAACCAATCCATGTTTGCACCAGGTTCTATGTAGTTTATAGCTAAACAACTGCATTAAGGATCAGAAAAATATGACATGGTCAGTGCTCAGTAATTGATAGATGTAAATCTCATACTTGTTCTGAAATTTTATTTACATTGCCATTGGTAAAATAAAGAGTTGCTGGTTCATGTAATGAACCTGTATTTCTTAATCTACCTCAAAACAACGAATACTTGACAGTCGTTTAGGTTAATCCGGTAAATGGATTACTTGTCGTTCCATTTTCTCGAAAAAAAGTAAACCGTTGTAAGCCTACTGAAATAGTATAAGTATAATACACTACATACGCATGAATAATCGCTAAACGGTGACTAATGCCAACCAAAGGATGAGTTCAGCAGCTCATTCCGCTATGCCTTTATGGCTGTAAAACGTAGGTTACCGGTAGTTGACCATAAACACCTTCGAACCGTTGCTCGTGTATATCCGGACCGACGAGTAGGTAGTGCTGAAGTCAGTTTAAGGTATAAGGTATGGATGGCAAATCAGTTGATAAGGTATTGAATCTTTACTAAGTTAGGTGGTTGGAGCATGTATTACACCCTCCTACATCAATGGACGATGATTACCTATGTAAGAGTAGGTTGAAATATAGCTAGGACTGGCCAAATCAAACATCGCTTCAGTTCGTGTAGTCATTGACTGTTGGACTGAACCTTGTGAGTAGCTGCAGATTACCTGGTTTAGAGTCCGCGCATTTATAGTAATCAATGGTTGGCAACGTTGGGTGATATGAACCAGAATCGTTTGCAATGGAATAAATGCATTCACTCTGTTTATCCTCAGATCCTGAGTTTCTTAATTGTCTTAAGAAAGTTTTCTATTCTACGAACACATACCCTCTCAAATCATATCTTCCATGCATAATATTACTTACTATCACATCTCCCTGTGTTAGTAAAATGTAACACACTAAACCGATGTGCATGTATCCCAAGTCCTCTGTTGTATGTAACTAATTTGTTCAAAATGTTGTGCAACCATTTTGACTTTTACATGCAACTGAACAAGGAAATATTAATGTTTTTCAAATGTTCAATATACACAAAACGACATTATTAATAATCAACTTTTTTTGAAATATAAAGAATTTAAATATTCGAGTAAACCTTTTTTTAGCAAATAAACAAATAAAGTTTAAAAAATGATTGTCCCGATTGTAATAAGAAAAAACGTAAGAAATCTCTATTAGATTCTAAGAAAATGGAATGAGATTTTATCATGAACTGAGATCTCAGATCGACGATTACAGAGATTCATTTGTAAATATACACTAAAATTAGTTAATCATAATAACGACATATACATAAGTGAGAATTATAATTGTCACTATTATGTTTTTCTCATTCGAGATATAGACAATTGGTCGAATTCATCAAGAATTGCTTGTTCTAATTCATTATGATCACATTTAGCTGGTTTTGTGTTAGTTGATAAAGATTTGGACTTGATTCGAGTAAATGAAAGTAAAAAAAGAAAACAATAACTAAACATTTATGGCTTGTTTTTTAATGCACAAGTAATATAATTCATTCCCATATTAAAACTCTTTCACGGTTAAATCCTGTTAATAACTTTATGGTTTAGGATTATGTCTGAGATGATAACAAACTGTTGAGTCGGCCTTCCGAGAACTGCAACGGAGCCTCGAGAGGCCCTAAAGGAGCCGAAGAGTCCTAGCCAATCAGGGCACGATGGAGCTTTCTAGAATAACGTGGCGTGCTACTATTGGTCAGTAGCATAATTTCTTTTAGGGGATTGGCCAAAATATGGTGGTAATTTAACAAATGTTAACATCTATAAATACCCGTGTTTTTCTGTACAAAGTGTTTCTCGCTTATTTCGCGCCATTTCTCTCGAGTTCAGGTCGCTGAGTAGTTCTAGCCTGCGGGTTACCAGAATAGCTTAGGAACCGAATAAAGCGTTTAAATTAACAAGACTTATCACAAACAAAATAAGAAATAATTATAACGCGAACAAGCAATGGATAAAGACTACTGTCCCCTACAATACGTCATGTTGAGTCATAAAAAAAAAGTTTTTTGACTTATACCTTTGTAAAGGTAACTACATCTTTTAGTATATACTTTCAGTTAACATGTAGTTGTATGAACGAAGAAAAAAAAGGAAATAGGCCAACCTCTACAGTAGTGTAGGATTACCGGTTTTCAGTCCATGAATAATTGTTTTTTATAGTTGAAGACCTTAGAGAATGGATCTCAAAATTTGTTCCAGTCAATCGAAAGTACTTATTCTTGTTTCCTTTGAAATTTTAAGCGTGGCATGATCCTATATGGTTCATTTCCAGGTAACAAGCATTTAACTTGTATGATATATTATTACCATTATTGGTAATACAAATTTCTCATATTTTTTCTTAGCTCCTAGTTACTTGATTTCTACTGTGATGATTCAAAGTATAACAAATTGAATTCACACGAAATTGTGCTGGATTTCACGTGTTCATCTCATAAACTTATTTCTTATCACTATAAATATATTTAGCATACCAGTCGTTTACAAACCGAAAAGAGGCTTATGACTATATGACATTAAATTACAATCAAGGATTAGTATAAATATATTAATTAAATCATACATAAACTCTTGCAAATTAAATAGGGATTTTCTGATGAATTATGGTAAAATATAGATTGTTCTGAATAGACTATTATTTAATAATGTTCCCTAGTTTAAGCATTATCACCAGTCAATAAAATATATGTTATCTTGGAAACACCATTATTAAACGTTTTCCTATCCAACTAAAAACGCTTAAACATTAACACAACTATGAAGTTAAATTGAATGATTTAAAAGTACACTTACAAATGAATCATCTGAAAACGGATCAAGTGTATTGGATGATTGGAATAGGGAACCAGTTAAATTAATAAGATCTCTAAAATATGTTTACAAAGAATGAGAAATGTGACGGATTAATGGAAATATACAACTTGTAATTTACATCAGGAAACTGAATCAAAATCACTAACGGTTACAAAACCTGTTCGCCATTCTGGAGATACTTTGACACTAATTTAAATAAGATGAAATTCAAACAGATTAATATAATACAACAACGGAGTACCCAAACTTATGCATAGCTAGTTATTATTCAGATTCAAGTAGAGATAGGATTTGAAGTGCTTCATATAACAACTTAAAGCCAAATGTTTAAACCAATAGACCATGAACGTGAAACACTTAGTTACGGCAAACAATTTCAACAAACTAAAACTTGAAAATAGGTGTTGCGGTCTGGATATGTTTGGTATGACTTCTTCGCAAGAATCAAATAGTTAAAGTACACAAGATAGTGAATAGCACGCTGGACTACGAGAAACATGAAGATTCTACATTGTACCGAATAAAGCCATTATTATTTAAATAATTATCGATTTAAATAAAGTCAACATATACAAGTTCAAGTAGTTATCATAAAGGAAATTATACTCAATCTTGGTGCTCACAATTTAGTGGTTGTCTTACAAACACATAAAACATTCGTAAAACGATTAGTTCTATATATTCTGATGGTGCAATGATCGGTCGTAAATGAGTATGAAGTACAGAAAAATGATTAAAGATTTCATTTTACTTAAATATTTTCATCTTAACACTATGTAAGTGAACATTTTTCAGTATGAAAGCTGATTTTACTTCAAGAATTACATTATCGTTTTATCTTGTGGGATGTAGGATTACTTGATGCTAACCCTAACTAGAACTTAGGATGGCATGTTGGTCATTGTTTTGGAATCAATGTTTCCTATTCCATATGAGTACATAATATGCTAGGGACGCGTCTTTCGACATTCGAGGGATTGTATTTAGAATATTAAACTATAAGAGATGGAAGTTGAAATTAATCTTTGCCACAATTTGAAAAATATAAAGTAAGCATTTCAAAAACTTACTCAGAAGAACATGTAGGTGGACTAGAATCGAATGTAACCCAATTATGAAAAGCTTTTTCAGGAGACTCTACGTAACAACCCATACGCTTTGATGAATTACAACGAAGATTAAATGGCTTATGCTCTATGTCTTGAGAACGATTTCTAAGCGATACTTGGGAATCATTAACTCGACTAGTTGTTGAAGGATAAAAATCAGCTGTTAAGTCAGGTAGTTCTGACAAAATACTAGTGAGCAGACTACGATTTGTTCGTTCTGAATTACGTAACTCATGATCGATTTTTGGTGATAGAGGTTGCCATATGGAATTATCACAAGATGGAAGATTATTTGTATCATTGTTTTGCTGATAATGAGTGGGTAGAGATAAATTATTATCTTTTTTAAATTCCAATTTTTTCCTTAATATCTCACAAATATCTTGTTCTGATGGTCGAGTTGAAAGAGACGGGATTAGTACTTTTCTACTGTGAGCTTTTGATGTAGCAGAATTACTCTACAATAGAATTGTAAAAACAAAAAAAGTTTCCACAATAGAATTTGTTATTGAATAAAGCAAGTGATTTCTGACAAACGAAAGAGGTTATACAAAATCACAACAAAAAGTATGTTGGCTAAGCTAACAATAGGTTTAAAGCTTCAGAAGTAAATAACGTTTGGCTCTCAGTTACATTTCGTTGATATTATCATAGTTGTTATATAAGAATCAAGGGACGAAGGTTAAGGATATATATAATACAAAAGTAGAAGAAATCGGGAAACAGTTTAGATATTTTGAAGAAAACTCACTCCTATACCGATGATCAAGGTAGTGAGAATGGTTGTTTAAACTTAGTTTAGATGAAAATGTGTGGCTTGTGAATATGGATTCCGACAGCTTCAGCAATGTGCAAAAGGCGAACTCGTAAAACGTGGTAAATTTGATGGAATATGGTCAACTTGATGACCTGTGTCCACCAAGTGAGCGAGAATAAAACTCTTAATCATTCTTACCTGTCCTTTGCTCAACTAAGACGGATGGTGTTCTACTATGCGATGACGGACTTGCCGAATCACACGCCCTGAATAACTGGCTTCATAAGAGCAGTTGAATTGGTGAATACACATGAATGTTGCGAATTCAGGCAGTCTTTTTATTATGAGGCAGTTGTAAGATTATTGCATCAATCATCCTTATAGTAAGTCAAGTTTCAAATAGTCATCATCGACCATTTTCCTAAATTGAAAGCTTCGTACTACGCAAACAGTCTGAAACCACAAAAAAGTGGCTTCCTAGAAACCACCACTCAATACAATATGTGATGCAGCTATTCTAAGACTACGCATACCTTTTTCAAACAGCAAAATCATTTGGCTATGGCTTTGAACAGAGTTGCTGTATCTTTACAAAAAATTAGAGTTATCATTGAAGATAAAACAGTAATTAACAAAAAAGAAAAAAAAACCTAATCGCTTACGAAATTTCGTTTCTGCATCGTAGAACTATTCAATTTAAAGGTTTGATAAAGATTATTAGGACGAGGGACAAACTGTAAATCATCCATTTTTTTCAAAAAAAAAAAAAAAACAAAAACAAAGGATATTTTCATCATTATTTGAATTATCGACGAAATTTCGAATAAATCACAATGATAAAACTATCATTAATTAATTTTACGGTATAACAAAAAAAAGTTGAACCAGACATCAATTACATCAGGTTCCATGTTGATTGACTGCAAAAATCATTTCAAGAATTCTAACCTTATTGTTATATCCGAGCGAAGATTAAATCACGAGTAACTTCTGAGACATATTAATTGACTAATATTATCTATACATTCTTATGGTATAACTATTCAATAATTAGATTATATATATTTATATTTCTCTTATTATAAGCTTCATTTTGACTTATAATTTATTATTGTACGATTTACTGTTCTTAAGCTATGTTCAGTTTATTGACTACTGCCTCCCACGTTCACAGCCACTTTCTGGCCTTATTTTGTACAAATGTTATTTCCTATTTTATGGTGCGTTGAGGTCTGTTTGATTGATATATAAACCCAGTATGTCTGAAATAAATGACTCGATTCGGTTCGCATATTGGAAGCTGGTATTTTGTGTTCTGGACTCAAGTGGACGGTCTAGGCGGACATAGGACCAATAAGGACGCTAGACTGCCCATACCGGTCGAACGTCATTGGTTTTGGCACAGTGAGAAGATTGTATAAGTCGTATTTTGATTGGTGGGTAAATCACGTGATAAGAAGCCGGACATAAAGTCATAAGACTTATGTTCGATTTAAGCGTAGAATCTCTCAAGAAAAACACGAGATTTATCTGTAATATACTAAGTAAAATAACGGAACACGGATATATGAACGAAGAATATTCTTTTATAAATAAATTCATCTCAGTTTCTACAATTATATATCCAAATGAATAAATCCAAACAGGGTCCAAGTTTAAGGCAAAATATATCGTTTCAAATTATGGCATGAGAATTCAAGATATATAAAATTGTTAGTGTTGTAATAACTAATGTGTAATATTAACTTGAATAATTTTATACGTTCAATGGAATTGTGAGAATAATGATCAGAATAAATATGGTTAATATGAAGTGATACAGATAATGATGTAATTTACAAATCAGATCAAATATTTTGTGGAAGGCTATATTGTATAAAACGTTAGGTGAAATTAGTAAGAATTAATAAAATGGGATAATTGCTAAGTAGATTAATCATCCATTCAGAGCTTAATAGTGATTTTAAACTAATAATAATAATAATATATTTGAATTAAAGACAACAATGTTTGACTAAGAAACGTTTTAAGTACTCTAGTTAAATTTTGTTGTGCGATATTTAAAGAAAGCGTTTATTTGAATGAATGTGATTTTATCGCGAGCTAATAATATGTCTGAACAGAAAGAGCACAAATCTTCAAATCCTGAATACATCGAAATCTTGAACATCCAAACTCTAGTTTGCTTCAACATCTTACGTAGAATTATATGGACTAGACGAAGTCGAAGTTACCGAAAATTGAACTTATATGAGATAATTAATGTGATATTTGTGTTATTGTATTAATGGAACTGAACTTTTCTATCAACCCAATTTTGTCAAAATTTGATAATTTTCAGTGATGCGAATCACAATATGATGCTTATTCATTCACTACCTAGCCTGAATAACACGATGGTCCGTCTGAGATTAAACGATAAATAACCTTGACTAGCCACTTCTTTATTTATCAGTTCAACTGCTTTTGTGGAAAGTCAGCCTGGCAGGTGTTCTAGGAATATGCATTGTCGTACTTGCGAGCACCTAGTGTAGTTAAACAAAGATATAGTCGAAATTGTTAACAACTCGATTTTAGTACATTTGGTATAAACAACCAACATAGAGCAATCATTTACAACAATATATCGTGCTAACACCAATCAGCCCAATCCATCAGACGGCTGAAGCAATAACTACTCGGGTCAAAAAGCCAGTGCCTTATGTCCAGAAGTATACTTTAACCAGCTTCTGACCGAATTAGTTAGTTATCATTTTGGTGATACGGCGACATAATTCGATTAATATTAATGCAATCTCTCTGTTTGTATTCTCGTAGTCACACACACTATTGTTGTCATAACTATTGTTATCATTATCACTATAACACCTAAAAACTCTGAGCAGTCTATTCAGTACCACCGCTATTTACTAATTCGTAGGTAACAAAACGGATCAGAAGTCGGATAAAATGTGGCTTCTAGTTTTTGCATCACTGCCTCTGCGATCAGTCCTGTCTTTGCATCACTGATCAGATAAAATGTAAATATTTAGGAATAGCAGCTCAGTTGAGACAAGGAAACTTTCCACGAAACACGTCCCAAAACTGATTATTGTAATATAGACTACTGAATTTGAAGCAGTTAGTCGATTTGATAAATTTCGATAGTGTAATAAGACGAAGATTAGCAGAACTATGTGATATATTAGCGCAATACACTTCGAACAATCTGATCACACATATACTTGTTAAGAACACCTATATATAAAAATAAAAGGTCAACTAAATTAGAAATGGGGGGGATAAGAGGAGATAAGGATAATAAAGAAAATAATGTGGAAATTTGAAACCTCATCACCCTGGATAATATGCAAATATTACCAGACTACTGAATATTATTAAGTAGTATACGGTCAGATGTAGTGGGTGTAAAAATAAATAAACATTGATAATTCACTACATACAGATAAGCCATTAAGACTATGGTGATTGACCCTTATTTAGGTGTTAACGTCAGACATAGAAATAACTATTATTCAGAATAAAATTAATAACTTTGACTGAACTAATTAGTGACATATTAAAAGTTCACTTATTTGAAGATTTAATTATTTAGTAAAATCTACAATTTGTCGACTAATGATAAGTCATAAGATTTATAATTCTTTGACACTATGAACTATCTAAAGTTCAAGAATGAAGAATACTAACATCTGATTTGAGGCACTCGTGGTTTTTCTCATCATGGTGTACGTAACCGTTTAAGTAAACTTATATCTGATTACCCTGATATATATAGACTAAGTGTCGATATGCCTTCATCCTGAAAGAGTTTATAATCATATGAACTCTGAATATTCATTTCAACCTCAACAAACAAAACTACCGAGTTAGTATTAGAAATGAAAAAATCCTTGGGTTTGTTTTGTGAACCAATACTGAGAAAGGTATTCAGTGAAGTCTGTAACAAGTTTTAACATACATAGAAGAGACATATTGATGACACTTTTATCATTTACAATGAAGCTTTTGACTCTCACAATTTGCTTATTATCCAAAAAAGAAGCGAATCAAGTGATGTTAATGTGAGATGTGGCAATTAGAACTGACAATAATTTGTGAAGGTCATACCTACATAAATAACAGATATTTAAACTAAGAAAGATTAGTTCAACGAAGAGTTCCAATTTCGGCGGATTCATTTTCAAAGCTGAAAAGAGAACACTTCGCTGAACCATTCTTCCTTATTTCATGTCTTAATGGATATATTCCGTTTACTTAAAGATATTTAGATGTCAAATAAGATATTGTCATCACAATCTTCAGTATCATTCATATAAACAACTTATTTGTCAAGTATCAGTGTTCATTTGAAAAATCAAGAACCAAATATCAATAAAACTTGTGACAAAATGGCTATATCGAGGGAATTCACATAGAATGAACATAAAGACCGATCAAACTCAGTCCTAATTATCAAAAACAGTGACATACAAACCCATGCAATTAACTAAATGATAATTATGTTCACAAAGTTCGAAACTTGTGATATGATGTCGAAGAATTAAGTCAAACAATTAATAAGTGAGTGAGTGACTAATTCCCTGTAACCACCTATGACAATTTATCATGTTTACTTTGTATTAATATTTTGCACATAAGCATATCATTTTATAACTTAAGTAAAACCCATTCCTCTGACTTGTGATATTTTGTTGAAATCACCACCATTCGAAACCCGGAGGCTGAGGAGTCCCGTACTAGAACAAAACGGCCGTTTAGTACTTCTAGGCACTTAATAGTCGTCTAACTTAGATCGGTTCCTGATTTCAATGAAATTCAACCGTCTTCAAGACCCCATAATATGGCATTTTCTTTATCGTAAATCATTTGAGAGCTTAGGTCAATCATTCGGTCCTATGAACAGTTGTCGCTGGATACCATCAATCGATCAGCGTTCTTTACATATGTTTTACCAATCGAAAATTCGCTCATGGCACACTTATTTCGTCAAAAAATGGAAAATAACATACAATGATTCACTACTTTGATACACATTTTTTTAACCCGTTTAAAAGTACATACAACTTAAGGTAGTGCAAAAATATACATTTTAAACAACCAATATGAATAAAAATAACAAAAATGATACAAACTAACATAATTAAACTATACAAGAATGTAAATACAATCAAATCAAATAATCGTGTTTCAGTCTGGTATGCGAGATGAAAGTGAAAATCATTTTATGTTCATTCAGATCGCATCTGGTATATCTTAGCGTGATCATTGAGTTTGTATATTAGGATGATCAAAGCGAGCCATATTGGCTTGAGCATTAATTTCCTTTAGGTCCTACCGTACCAGATAGGTTGGTTGTAAAGTAGTAATACTTTATACACATATTCTATTTCCACAATCAACCCTCATCTTCTGTCCTCGAATTCCTCCACATATTCTACCAATGGTGACAATTTAAGTTTATGAATTACTATCCTAGTTTCAACTCCGCCTGTAGCTCTTCTCGAGTTACTGCCGATCTCAAGGCCGGGGAAAGGAGGAGGGTTGGGCATGGGGTTAGCGACCCCATCATGTAGAAAACTAACACGCTAAGAAAAACGCTTACCAGAAAAAATAATTCAAACCATTTTAACTCTGCACTAGGAGTTATAAGGTATTCATTTAGAAGAATTATGATGCTTCATGGTGAAAGCCGAGTTCCTTCGAGAGCCATGAGGCCGATTCCCCTTCTAAC